GCAACGCGCGACGGCGTGAAATACGTCGCAGCCGGTTGATCAAACCCATAAAGCCGTACGTGTCGTCGATGTGTAACACACGGCCATTATCGTGTTTCTATTATGATGTTTCCCTCGGGCGTGTATTCTTGTCGTTATGCACGTGCGGGTCAAGGTCGACTCGTCTCGCTGGATGTACTCGCAATTAGTCTAGCAATTTTAGCGGCAGATAGAAACAGAGTAAGAGAGAAAGAGAGAGAGAGAGGCACACGCGACATCTATACACATGCACGACTACACAGGCACATAACGGTAACACGAGCGCGATGATCATGAGGAAACGCCGAGTAATTCCTGATAATATATGCGCGATACAGAGGAATAAATTAAAACAAATTGTACTGCCGCTATCGCGTAATGAACTTCGTTATATATCGCTCTGCATTTCAGCGAGTCGAATCGCGAAGCGGTGCGTGCACGGCCGATATCGGGGACATACTCGATTTCACATCGGCCATTGTCGAAGCTGCGCGATTTATTAATCTATTATCGCGCTGCATTCCGCCGTGTGACGTTAACGAATTACATTGTGTTACGTTATGCGCCGCCTCGCCGCGTCCCCGACGCGTGCGTCACTACGCTATTTTTTTTCCGTGCGAGGCTTCTCGCGCCTCGAGTGACGGACGGACAGACGCGCGATGACGCGGTGGAATCTGCTGAGGCTCGCGCCGCAGGAATTCTCTTTCTTTCCGGTAATTTTTTAATAATCGAGCATTCGAATCTCCCACGCGCGTGGAATCTCCGCCGTGGACTCTCCGCGATCGCGGCTCTTCGTTTGTCGAAGTGCCGCCTCGGCGCGGCGGGAATGGGAACGCCCGGGTGATTTTATCGCGAAGCTCATTTCAGCCGGATCTCGTTAGAAAGTACTTCACTGTATAATCTACCTCCCATCCCCCCTCCCCCCCCCCCGCGCATATATTTGCAACATTTAATATCCTAATTGCCTAAAGCCATGGACACTGCCTGACGTTTCCAAGGATGCAAACATTTTATTTCAGAGTCAGCTGTGCTGATTTTCTCCAAAACGAATCTCCCCAATGCACCTAGTTTCGTTTAATTGCATCTTCGTGCAATTCGCGCGAAGCCGTTTCCTATTGTTTCGCCTGATTCAACGACGCGAACCTTTCCGAGGGAGCGGGAAACTTGGCGGAATTCTTCACGGGACGCGCGTTGCGCGAAAAGCGCGGTCGACCCTGCGCGCACTTTTCACCTCTCAAACTCCGCGGTGCATCTGATTATGCGTCGACCGCAACGAGTCTCTCGAGCCGCGTTCACGCAATGCGTCGCGTGTTCGGGCTGGTGTATGAGCGTGCGTACACGTACACACGCACGCGGATCGCCGCCGTGGGCGGAGGAATGAACTTTCTCGCGCATAACTTATGCAAATTGGTCGGCCATTGTGCACGGTTGCTTAATACATTTACGAATATCACTCCTCGCAGTAAGGCCTTGTTCGGCGCGCTATACCCCCCGACGCGTCTCCTAATGGGCCGCGCTGCTGAGGGATTTTCCTTTACGGGTCGTCCAGTACGCGAAATTGTAATTCGCCTTGTGCGCAGCACATCGATACCTCCTCTCCTTCGTTTCCACCGTGGCTTCGTGGACAACGGAGAAGAGAGAGACGGATAAACCCACTCGAGGCTGTCAAAGTGTTGGCGAACTTGAGCGCGATCCGTTCTTTGTTTAACCACTTTAAGAACGTGGAAGGATGGTGCAGTTGAAGGAAGACTCGAAAACAGCGTAATTGCGAAAAAACGAAGAAAGCTCACTCTTTTTCTTGATGCTACCGCTTTTAAACGGCGTCAGATCAATTTCGCGGCGCATCGCGGCGATGTGATATCACGAGTTTCCCTTTCTTGCTCTTGAGAGTGTGATGAAACACTCTCACACATCAGCATTCGCTTCGTGAGAGAGAGAGAGAGAGAGAGAGAGAGAGAGAAGAGGGTCTCCAGTTCCACGAAATCTTTTATTACGTAAAATAGTCTCAGCTATTTTATCTCGTTATATTTATAAAAAAGTCGCGTAGCATTCCACGGTAAAACGGAATACAAAATTGCCCCGTGCCGCTTCTAATTAGGAAAATTTAATTAGTTTCCGTATCTCGAAGGGGTTTTAATGAGAGGAATTTATCTACCTTCGGTACCGAGATTTGCCGCGAGTTAATGGAAGCTAATTGTAGATTGGTAATAAGTGAAATTTTATAAATATGTGGGATTTCAAGCTAATCGCGGTTATCGTTGTTCCTGCGTTTTCCTCGCGGTCGCTTCGCCGGAGGCGAGGCTTTACCTCGCTCATGCCGAAGAAACGTCGGAACATCCGTTTTAATCGCGTCCCTTCGGATTCTGCGAGGATATCTCATTCCGCCGCGCGACAAAACTTTGTCCACGATGGAGGAGCATTTATTTTTACGAAGCGCGATATTAATAACGCCCGGCGCGCTGTGTATGTGTGTGTGTGTGTGAAGGCTTATGAATGATTCATACGGCTAGGCGCTCGAAATCCGGACGGATCGCGAAAGACGACTCCATCATAACTGTTTCACATCCCCCGACTATTTTCCGCGTCAAGTGTTCGCGCGCGTGAAATTATTAGGTGTGTGAATTAATTCGGTCCATCTGGCGGTCAATTGCTGTACTATATAATTTCCTAACCTCTAATCTCTGCAAAAGGCTTTATTTTTTAGTTTTGATATCTGGCAATAATATTCAATTGATAAAGGTTTGGGTTTGTAACAATAACATCGTGTTTATCTGATTCGAAAATGTCGAAATTCGTGCCAAAAAGCATCATTTCCGAGAAGTTCTCATTTTCTGTTTTCATTTGAAGAAAACAGCCGCTGAAGCTCATCGAATGCTCGTAGAAGCTTATGGTGAAAGTGCTCCCACCGATAAATCATGCAGAGAATGGTTTCGACGTTTCAAAAGTGATGATTTCAGTGTCGATGACAAACCAGGTCAGCCGAAGAAGTTCGAGGACGAGGAATTGCAGGCGCTAATCGAAGAAGATCCGTGTCGATCGCAACATGAGCGCAATTGTTGAATGTCGATCGATCAACAATTTCTGTGCGTTTGTCAGCCATGGGAAAGATTTACAAAGAAGGAAGATGGATGCCATACGAACTGAAAGAAAGAGACATCGAGAGACGAAAAGCCATGTTTGAGATCTTGCTTGCCAGGCAAAAAAGAAAAGGTTTTTTGCATCATATTGTGACCGGAGACGAAAAGTGGATATATTTCGATAATTCCAAACGAAGGAAATCCATTAGCGACCCAGGAAAACCATCCACATCGATACCAAAGCGAAATATTCACGGCAAGAAAGTAATGCTCTGTATATGGTGGGACCAGAAGAGTGTACTGTATCATGAACTATTAAAACAGAGCCAAACCATCACTGCCGAGCTTTACCAACAACAATTGATCCGTTTAAACAACGCATTGAAGAATAAGCGGCCGGAATATGCAAAGAGACACGACAAAGTGATCTTCCAGCACGATAACGCTCGGCCGTTGGAAAGATTGTGAAGGCCACCTTGGAAGCACTTGGCTGGGACGTTTTACCCCACCCGCCATATTCACCAGACATTGCTCCATCCGATTATCACTTGTTCAGATCGATGGCACACGGGCTTTCGGACCAGCACTCCAACAATTATGAAGAAATAGAGAAATGGCTCAGTGAATGGATCGCTTCGAAGGACGAGTCGTTTTTCCCTCACGGAATGCAACAACTGCCAGACAGATGGGAAAAAATAATAGCAAGCGATGGCAAATACTTTGATTAGTGTACTTTTTCATGTTTCTTTCATACTAAAGCCCTTTTTTGGAAGAAAAAAAACGGACCGAATTAATTCACACACACTCAATAGTGTTTTTATCATCCGTCCGCGCGCGGCGACGCGAGATGCGCGAACGCGCGTAAAATGACACGACGATGGGGGTCGTGTTACAAGGCACTTGGACGCGGCTTAACGCTGTTGTCCATCGCAGCCGATCGCGACGCGTGGGTTGCACACGCCCGGGGACCGCCCTGGCGCCTCTCTCGTCGTATTCGAGGCGAGCCTCGTATCGAGATCCAGGCGAGGCACGGAGTGGAGCTCGTGCAAATGGAGCGATCGAGGTCGTTAGATTGAAGATCGCTGCGTGGGTCGCGCGTTGCGAGCTCGTCCGTGAGCCGTGAGCAATCGAGCTCTCTCGACGCGGAGAGGACTCGAATATCCGCGCGATATCCTCTCGCATGTATCGGATCGATGCGTCTCACGTGTCGGCGATTCGCCGCGTCCGATCTGTAGTACTTGCTCGACGAACGCTGTGGTCGTCACAACGGTTCCGTGGTGTAGCGGTTATCACGTCTGCTTTACACGCAGAAGGTCGCCAGTTCGATCCCGGCCGGAACCATTTATTTTTTTTCTTTTACCTGTCTTCAACTTTTGGGCACGTGCGCGCTCAGGCCGTCGTCGTTTAGCGATAAGTGTAAACAGTCAGATATTTCATATTAGTGATAAGATGATAAGACTTCTCACACATGGTCGGAGATGTGTATATTTTATTTTGAAAATTAGCTCCGAAAACAATTCTTTTCGCGAACCCTAAATTTTCCATCGTCTATTCAGTTTAACAAAGGGAATAATGGATAATTTAAAGGATAAATTCTTGGTGGGGTAAAAAATTTACAATAAAAGTTATTATTACTATTAATTTAAATAAACACAAATAACAAGAATCAACAAGCAGATAAGAATCACCGTTACTATTACGATCATTGTTAAACACACTGGAACGACTTCCCATTTCGAGCGATTATTCGGCACTTTAACTTCGCAAAGTTAAGTCCCTCTCGATCCGTTGGAGTACGTCCATCTTTCACGCGAGTGGATCGAGTTCTCTGTTGCGAGAGAGAGAGAGAGAGAGAGAGAAGCACCGTGCCAGCTGATAGTGACACAACCGTTCTTCCGATTGCAGATGTCAACGTGACGTGGACCGATTGGGAAGAGCTGCGATGCCGTAGTCGTCGCTATGAGCGAGAGCCGGTGCTACGCGGATTCGCCCGTGCTCGTCGAACATCAGCCCTTCAACCGGATTGGGAAGGCGCTCAGGTACGATTATTATAAGTGTCGGCTGCATTTACTAGACTCACACGCCGCGCCGCCGACTCGCGACTTTAATCACCCGCGACAGGCCGGGCGCTGATCGCGCGTTGATTTATAGCTCGTAATTGAGGAGTACAATTCGAGAACGACCGCGCGCGCTCGTTGCTCGTTTCCGCGGCTCGTCGCAACGGCGATCAGGTCGAGGTAGAAGTGGGAGAATTCCGAAAGAAAAACATACGTGAGAAAGAGGACTTGGATGTGACGTTCCCGCACGCGTAACACGTAACGTAGCGCTTTAAGTCTGGACTCTTCGCGACTTGACCGCTCGACGATCCGCCGAGTCCGTCGTGCCGAAACCTTTTCGAAATCGTTAGCACCGCGGTCGGTATGCGATAGCGTCGTGAGAGGATGTCCGATCGGATTATCGATCGAATTATGGCCCTCGGCTAATCAGATTATATTGCGGAATCTCGGCTCGCCTTCGTGTCACGTAAACTGGGCTTAGACCTATAAGGCACCAAACACGGCCTGCCGCGCGCGCATGCCTCTTATCCGCCGGAGACACTAACGAGGGTTGATTTCAGGGGATCCAAGAAGAGCGTGCTATTCTATACGACCGACTGCGGGGACGAAAAAGAGGATCTGGGTCTCAAGCTTCAGCAGCGATCCGTCTCGTTGGTGAGTCTTGCGAATTTCTCCTGTATTAGAGTCACACTCGTGCTTGATTGTGAATGGTTAGGTTAGGTTAGGTTCTTGGTTAGGGCATGTGGCCTTGTATCGGTGTTTCGCCGGTATGGCCGGCGTGAATGTCCGGAGCCAATCTCCGGAGAATGAAAAGCGAAAAAAATCCGGGGTGAATCGTCTTTTCCGGAGATTCGTCGAAAACAGACGTTCCCCGCAATCTGGAAAAGAGCGTCGTCAACGTGTATACCAGATTTTATTTACAGTAGCTTCAGAATAATGGATCGGTGTTGATTTACTTTCGAAGTGTATATGATTGAGAAATATGATTCGTTAAATCCTCTCTCGATTTCTTCGCACGCAAACGAAAAGACTTTATGTTTTAGTGTTTTAGTCGACGTTGACGATATGACGAAAATTCAGGTGTATTAAGCCACCTAAGCCAAGTTATCAGAACACGATAAATTATATATGAAAATTATTTGCTGATTTTTCGCTATTTTTTGCTTTCAAACTTGACTTGGATAGTTTAGTGTACTTTGATTGATAAAATTCGACTTCTCTTCACTATATATTATTTTTTAATTTGTAGCTGTGATTTTAATATTAATGTCGCATCAGCACTCCGTATAGTTTGCAATCTCGGAGTTCGCAGCGACTCTTTCAGTTTCTTTACAAACTCGAGGAAGCAGCCGTGGCTTCCATTAAGCCTGGTGTGCTCTTACTGCATTATCCAGTACCGTCATTATTCAACGAGGACTTAATGGCGCGCTACATCAAAACAATGCAACACCAGCGTCGAATAAAAATCCCCGTATAAATTCAACGCGCGATATGAGATGCAAGGGGTTTATTAAAGTCTCTTTGCCTTCAGTTTTTCTAACGTGTGATTAGACGCGTGATACATGTCTTGACCCGAGACCGAAATTTCGTTTCCACGTTAATCCTCCAAATTCCGACGAATTGGGAAAAAGTGGGGAGAAAATAAAAATTTTTAATCGATCCACTTCGATTCGATCGTTCGGTCGATGTTTCTCTATAGAAAAAACAACTGGCAAATTTGTGTTGCGTCTACCTAAATTATATCGTGTGTAACTCGGCGGATAAAATATTGACGCAAATTGATCATTAGGCCGGAGAGAGTACATTATCGCTCGTATTCGCATGAATTATCATTTCGCTCGGTTCCTACCTTTCGCTCATGTCAATATTTTACCGCATATCGGACGTACTAAAGGGTCCTTGTACCTTCCGATCATCGTAGGTGGAAAATTACCGGTCGTTACGTCACGTGCCGCCGAAGCATTACAAGTAATCTCACTCGTCATTATTCGTATAGTTACAATCGTACGTAACGAACGTACGGAGACACTCGACGAATTATCGCTGATACTATCATTATCTCGTCATAATGCTTTCTCTCTCTCTCTCTCTCTCTCTCTTCCTCTTACGTCATTTTTTGCTTATCGTCATTTCAGCTTCGACGTCACGTTGTGTCGCAATCACGATCGATTGTATATACGACGGACGAGAGATGCATCCGATCCGAGGCCGCGCGGTCTTTATGACGCATCGATCGCCTAATCACTGCAGTCCTGGATTTACGGCATTCTGTCGCAATCTCTTTATATTATCTTTATATTGCCCGCGTAAAAGCGCCGAGAGTATACTCGTCGTAACACGTCGACGGCGACGCGAGCTACGAGGACTAATAAAAAACAGGACCAACTGCTTTTCGATCGATCGATGCAAGATATATTGGGTGAGTGCAAAAGTTCGTGCGGAGTTTGTGAGTAAAAGTGACACAGTGATTAGGCAAACAAAAATCTTTATTCAATCAATGATATATTCTCCATCATTTTCTATAATCTTTTCCCAACGTTCTGGCAGCATACGGATGCCTCGATCATAAAAACTGCGCGGTTTAGATTCGAAGAACGAAGAGACGCCGTTTTTTAAGGCCTCCAAAGAGTCAAAGTTTTTTCCATTTAAATAATTTTGCAATTACCGGAACAAGTGATAGTCAGATGGTGCGATATCAGGAGAATACGATGCGTTAAGACATCCCATTTCAGGCTCTTCAGTTTGCGCAGCGTCTTTTTCGAAACGTGTGGTCTGGCGTTGTCGTGATGAAAGACGACTCCCTTGCGATTTGACAAAATCGGACGTTTCTCTTTTACTTCTCGATTCAGATTGGTTAATTGGCGACAGTACTTGCCCGAATCAATCGTTTCGCCAGCGGGGAGAAGCTCGAAATAGATTATGCCCTTGCAATCCCACCAAACAGAGAGCATCACCTTCATCGGGTGCAAACTGGCCTTTGGCATTGCGTCAGCATGCTCACCTGATTGTTTCCATGTCCGTTTGCGCTGAACATTGTTGTAGAGGACCCATTTCTCATCGCCCGTCACTAGTCGATCCAAAAACGACTCGTTATTGAGCCGCCCGAGTAAAGAAACGGCTGCAGAAATTCGCTTGATTTTGTTCTTCTCGATCAGCAAATGGGGCACCCATATATCGAGCTTCAAATCGAATCCCATCTTTTTTAAACGCCGAAAAGCGGTTGATCGGTCAACGTTTAGTGCTGTAGCAACTTCTTCTGTTGAAATTCGCGGATTATTGAGCACTAAAGTACGCAAAACATCGTCATCAATGTCAGAAGGTCGACCAGAGCGTGGCTCGTCTCAAGGTTAAATTCTCCGCGCCGAAATTTAGCAAACCATTTTTCCACAGTTCATTTAGCTGGTGCTTCATCCTGATAAACATCCTGAATGTTTTTTACGGCTGCGGCAACGTTTATTCCCTTCCGAAACTCGTAAAGCATAACATGCCGTAAATGCACCTTATCGATACTCATTTTTAAAGTGATATTTCTCGAAGCAGTTTGTATGAAAACAAATGATTTTTTTTTAATAACAGCTGAAGACGTCACCTTTCCAACGTTATATCATATGTAGATGGAAGTATTAATGACAACACTTTACGACGCTTATAACTCCATCTATTGAAACTCCGCACGAACTTTTGCACTCACCCAATAGATTGAAAAGAGCGATATAATCTCGCGATTTAAGATCTCGTTACCGAGATTTTCAATTTTCACCAGCGTCTGCTCGCACGCAAACTTATTAGCGCGTTCTTCTCGAAAGCAACACACCCGCGGAAAGTGTCTCGGGCGCGAAGGTGAAACTTGGAAACCATCGCGATAGCACCCCTTCCATAAACACTCCCTGATTTCAAGAGTCCATAACTTTCCTCTTCGATAGTATCGCGATTGATAAATTCTCTATTACCTGTTATATCGGGGGTGGCGGCGACGGTGGCTGTATCGTTCGATTCTCCCGCGTCGAATCTTCATCATCGTGCTCGTCCTTATCTCTCGGCGTGTATTTCTCCTTATAAGTAGGCGCGCGCGTCCTTCCCCTCTCGTCCTCCGCGAAATCCTTGCGTCATTTTTACGTTCGCGAGGTTTTAACTTTTTCCGTCGAATCCTCATAACACGACTGTCGCGACTGCGCGGTCGTCTCGTCGCGATTGACAGCTCAATCTTCTAATCGCCGCTAAATTTTGCGAATCACCATAGCCGGATCCCGCACGGCTGAATCGTGAAACGTTCCACGGTACTGAGATACGCGCGGCCTGTTACTTTCCATTTCGATACTATCGCGCGCCGTAAATTCACAATCACCTGCAGTATCAGTCGTCTCGTCGGTCGTAACGTTCGGACACTTCCACGTAGACTCTTCATCATCGTCTTCGTTCCTCGTCATTATCCCTTACGTAGTATCCCGCGTTGATTTATGAATACTGGCGGATCTCGGCGGTCGGTCGGAGCGACGATATCAACGAACGACGACGATTCTGCCGAAGCGTTCCGTTCCGAAAGCAGAGATAGAGATTTCGCATCTGAGAGATTTCGTAACCCGGCCGGGGAGGATGGAAGAGTGAAAAATCACACGATACGTTTGACACGTGCAATTGTTGGAGATTATTCGTTACATCACGACAGTACATCTCTGAAACTAGCCGATCGATCGGCGTGAGCGTTCGGCGTCGTTCTCACGAGAGCAATTTATACACGCTCATATTAATATTTCGGGCGGATTGAGATTATTTCGCGTCGGCAGATATCGTTTGTGGAAATTGGGGAAATAAAATTTGGATGAATATGACATTTCTGGATTGTCGCGTGTATTTTGCGATAAATTTGCACTCGTTCGCCGTGTTAAACGTATTTTGCACGTGCGATAATTACACCGCTACGTGCCCTTAGAGATTATCTATTTCTGTAATTGCACACACTCGTAGCTACTATCAAGCCTCTCTGATCTCGACACGCACTTTGATTTACAGCTCCCGATCCTCGCGGATTAAAGTCAGAATTTCACGAGCGAATTTCACGGCGTTGCGAATAACGGCTTTCAGCGTTTCTGCTTATTCCTATGAATAGAAATTATTATCCCGTCATTATAAATCCGCGAACATCCACCTCTCTCACGTCGCGCGAATAAAACTCGACGAGGTAAGTTCGCGATCGCGCACGGAATGATGTAACTCGACGCTCGGCCGGGGATTTACGCGTTTCGTCGTTTCGTGGTGCGCTTCGCGTTCGGAATTTTAATCTCCAAATTATCGCTGTCGCACACGAGACGTTTAGCCTCGTCGTCGATAATCGGGCAGATAATTATCAAGATTTACGTCCCACGAATTCGCGAGTGACACTCCTCGATGTGAAATCTCAGCGCGAGTCTTCGCGTATACCTTTATTTACTCCCCTGACAGCAACGAGGTGCAACGACGAGTTTCCTCTGCTTTCTTAGACAAGTGAAGCAGGAAGAGACCTAGGTTTTTCCTAGGCGAAGAGCACCCTTTCCGCGCTCCCAAGTGCGCTGAGATATTCTCACCTCCGCGAGGAGATCGTAGGCGCGTTTACCCGCGTCGACCGCGAAGTATCTCACACGCTTCTCTCGCACATTGCGCCGTCGATGAGAGAGCGG